CCAGTGCTTAGGTCAGGGCTCCCATGAGGGTAGATTTTATAGACTAGGCACCTGTTCTCTCAAGTTTTAAAAATTACGGGACAATCTGATCGAGGGGTTTAAAATGACAGGATTTGATAGGATAAGTAGGGAGTAACTAATTCCTCTGACAGGGCCGGGGTTGGGGGGAACCAGAACAAGGGGCCATAAAATTAATGCTAGACTGTTATGAAGTATAACCAGAAAGTATCTTCCCATTCACTTCAAATGGAAAACTCAACCCTAATTCTCTAAAAGGCTGTATATACTGGAGGTCATTATAAGTGTTCATCACTGAGACTGATTGTCATCAAAAAAAAAATCTATCAAGAAATATGGAGCAAAAAGAGTTAAGGCAAAGTTCATTCATTGTCATAGAGATGTACATCACAGAAACAACCCTTTGGTCCAACTTGTTCACGCCAACCAGATATCCTAAATTAATCTTGTTCCATTTGCCAGCATTTGGCCTGTATCCCTCTAAATCCTTCCTATTCATATACCTATCCAAATGCCTTTTAAATGTAGCTTTGAGCCGCACATCCAGAGATTACCTTTCCAGTTCTCCTTCCTAATTTGGTGCCTGGTTCAATGTACTGATGATACAGTAGCTGTTTCCTTGTCCTACCCAAGGCATTAGTGCATACATGAACCACAACACCTTCTATCCTATCCTTCCATTGTATGTTCCTCTCCAGCCCTGAACAAACATCCCATACCCTGGCAATGGACAGGCAACTCAGTTGTTTAGACTCATGTTCTTTACAGACAGAGTCAATTCCCCTGATCATACTGTCTATTACCACCACTATATATTCCCTTTATCTCCCCCTCCCATACAAATGGCTTCCTGTAACATGGTTCCATGCTGGCTCGCTCATCCACCCTGCAACTCCTGTCCTCGACCAAACAGTTTCTGAACTTCAAGCCTGTTGGAGAATTGCAAAGGCTTAAGCTCCTGCACTCTGATCCAAACAGCAGCTAGATTCCCCTGTTCCTCACCACTGATCAAATCAAAAGACCCTATCCTAAGGGAGTGTGGCCAACTCCTGATACAAAATATCCAGGTAACTTTCCCCCTTCCTGGTGTGTCGCAGTGTCGGCAGCTCAGCTCCAGCTGAAGCTCATCGAGTTGCAATCACATATTACAGGAGTTTGCCCTGGATCACACCAGTTCCCAGGAGCTCCCACAAGCCATAACCATAGCACATTATCTGTCTTGCCAACATTAATTAACTTAATTATTTTAAACTTATTTTCCTTGCCATTCATTCCTGAACTGTTTTCAACCCTGCGAATAGAAAGAGACCTTAACCACTTACCCGATACTCACCAAACAGCGAGCTTTTCCCTTGTAGTAGAGCAAGAACCAATTCCTACAGACTGAAAGTGTTAGAAAAAGCAAAGGAGCACATCTTTCTACTAACTCCTTCACTCACCCAACTCCCAGCTGAAAGTTGCGCTGAGTTAGTTCAACTCCATGTACAGGAAAATAAAAACATTTAAGCTTGTTTCCTTCATTAACTAACCTGTTACTCCCCAGTGGAGAGATACATATCCTGCTTAAGTCTGAATGAAATTTAGAATTTAAACAGTAAATTGCACTTAAGTACTTAAAACTTAAGTATTTAAAATAGAATTTTATCACGTGATTAGATTCCTCTTATTGACAAAACTATCAGCATTCAGTGGCAAGTCACACTGAGATGCAAAGATCAAAATATATCAGGGCAGCAGACGAACCTGCTCCTCAAAGTCTCCAAATCACCCAGGAAAATTCACTCACAGCAGCAACAAGAGAAAAGCCATCCTTTTAGAAAGACGGGAAGGATCTGTTGGGAAGTTAGTCCTCCGATCACAGGCCACTTCTCTCTTATGCTTGCTGCTGTGAGCCTACCAGAGGTAAGCACATCAAAAACAAAGGCAGAAGCAACATGTGAATGGAGGAGCAAAAGGTAATGTTCCTGGATTTAGCCAAGGCATAGGGCCACCTTTAGCTCAAGGCCCAGCTAGGCCAGGCTGATGGGGTGTACACTTTAGCTGAGGTTAGGTTGGAGAATGGGGTTGCCATCAGAAGGTCCAGGGATGGAGTTGGGGGCTGCCTTTTGCCAAGGGCAAGGTCAAGAGCCTTTGAGGTGGGAGTGGGTGAGCAGAAGAATGACTCTGACCGTGTGGACTGAAGGAGGATGCAATATTAAAACTTGTCCACATAGGAGTTCTCAGCTGCCTGGGATCCAAGGAAACTTTAAATCAGAGGCAACAACTCCACAAAAGACATTAACATTGCCATGGATGAAGTAGGAAGAAACTTTAGGATCCAAGATTATTAACACATCAACCAACGCAGAACAACAAATCATCGAAGCCTGTAGGATGCTCAGCTACCCAACCGAAACAAGAGAGGACGCATTCAAGATAATGGTCAAATTATAGAGGCTGCAGTCAGACCACACCCCGAATGCTGTGCCAGGCTATAACATCTAGTCAGATTATAACATGATATTGTGCATAGTTCTGATCTATTAATATTCATTAATAGAAGGGGAAAAAAAAACTGCCTTCCGTACCCAATCTGGGCCTACGTCACTTCAATCTCACAGCGACATGAAATTTGGAAACGGCCTACAAGCCTCTCAACTAAATGAAACACTGCAACGGGTGAAGGCAGCAGCCCATCACCACAACGTTTATGTATAAAAGACTTTTAATGTAATAGAACATCGCAAAGTAATAAAACATCTCATAGGAGCCCGAAGTAAAATTAGATATTAAGCCACACGAAGCGGATCCCAAAAGCTTGGATTCAAGGAATATCTTGAAGCAGTGAGAGCACTCAGGGATTTGGAAGCCGCAGGCAAAGCTACTAATTAAGGCACAATTAAAATTGGGGATGCCAGTAGGGCAGAGTATAATATGAGGATTGTGGGGTTGGAGAGGATTGCAGAGATAAACCAATAAATTCTGGCCCTACCCAGAAACAGCAACATAAATTGAAAATAAAACATTTTAATGAAGGACAGGGTGGTCTCATTAGTGTCCTGACCAATATTCGCATTTCAACCAAAATAATTAAAAACAGACCTTTGTTCATTATTATATTGCTGTTTGCGGAACATAAACATGTACAATTTTGCTACCATATTTTTTAAAATATAGCACTGACACTTTTTAAAAAATGCTTCACTGGCAGCTTTAGGAGGTGAAGGGTTCTGTGTGGAGCTATATCAATGCATATCCTTGTAAGAGATTTGTCTCAGGTTCTGCTGCAAAGTATGCACGTGTGGGGCATCCATGTATTATTGGGTGTCCATGTAATGGGACACATGACACAAGGTCACACCAAAAGTAAATCACTCATTGTCAAGATTCACATCTAAAGAACGATCATTTCAGTGAAGTGCCAAAAGGTGGGGTGGTGGGGAAATCAATGGCCTTCGTTTGAGAGATGTCACCATACGTAGTGAAGGAAAGAATTTAGGGAAGAGAGCAGAAAAATAAACTTGGGAAGCAGCCCAGCACAGCCTCCTGCCGTGCAGTGGGGTGGAGCAGCTGCAGCAGCAGCACTATGCTCTGGAACAGCTGAGACAAAAGATACAAATAATTGCTACATGTCAGCACGCCTCAACCTAACCTGACAGCCATCCGCGATTGACCAATCACCAAGCCAGACATTCGCCGACAAGCCAATGGGAGGGCAAAGTAGGGGGCGGGGCTCCAGTCGCTAGCAAGGTAGGTTGCGGCCGGCTTTGTGACGTCATAATGGGCCTGCTTTGAATAATATTTTCTCGTCATGGGAGAGGAAGAGGGGCAGCTGATGGGGGAAAAACAAACCACAAATCATTCAGTACAGGCCCCAAACTCTCCCACTCCCCATGAAAAAGTTTGCTCACAGAACTTTTCCCATTGAAAAAAACTTCTCCAGAAATGCAATGCAAGAACTGCTTTTCAAATAAGACACTTGACAGTAGAACCCCCAATCCTTGAAAAAAATTGTGTATAGAAATGAATGGGATATATTAAGTTCCCTTTGCTGGTTTAAAAAATCTATCCAGTAAACCTAACAGGTATCTTCGATGGAAAAAAAAACTAGTGTTGGAATCAATAATTCGCATCCCAAGATTAAAAAATATCATCCAGTAAAGCACTGCTCTGTTTAAACAGATCACTGCAAAAAAATGCAGCATCTGATTAACACGACGCTAATTCAAAGTTACTCTGGATAGAAAGCAAGATCACAGGTTGATGTACTACAGGAGTAATTCAAAGGTCGCTGGGTATGAACACAGTTTTCTGCAGAGGTCCAGATATGATCTGTAAATACGACCAATACAACAAATCAAAATGGACTATGAAAACAGACATGGAAAATTAAAATAAGATTTTAAAATGTACATGATTTAAGCCACGAATGTCAAATGATGCTAAACATGGATTTAGAGGGGTTTGGCGAATTATTTTTTGTTGCTGTAATGAAATGGTTTGATTACGGTGTTTTAAACAGCCACCTTTCCCATTAGGAAGCGTTTTGAAAGACACGAGTCAAAACATTTTTTTTCTCTCGCAAGATTATTAAAAACCAAACAATTCATAATGAATATGCATCAGATCCTTTTCTTGGTCCAGACCCGCGCCATTGGTAGCTTCGAACACAAAGTGTCGCCGGCGACTGCAAGGGAGCGGAGGGGGAAACCGGAAAAACTTGCGAAATAAGCCGACAAGAAGCCCCCGAAAGGCGGCTTCCCGCGGCCCCCGCTCCCACTCCTCCTCCTCTTCGTCACTCACTTTCTGCAGACACTCCCGGGCTTGGCCAAATACTGAAGTTGCCGGCGTTTGCTGCTAGGCTCTAGGTTCTGTTCAAATGTATATATGTTGTTGTGTATATTACATATAAAGGGAGTTGCTGCTTGGTTTTCCTCATCTTTTTTTCCACCGACAACTTAAGCATGAAAATTATTATTAATGAGATCTACATCAACACCTACCTGGGGCTCCCTCATCGTTTTCCATCCCGTCCTCCTCATTGCCAAAAGATGCCGGCATCATTGAATGTTAAACTAATGTATTTTTTTAAAAGAGAGATGGGGGGGAACACAGAAGATTCACATTAAAATCCTGAAAGGGTGAGATTTTATCCAGGGAAAGGAAATGCAAATAAGGAAGATTTTTAAATTAATAAAATACAGGAGGAAAAGTCCTTGTTGGATTTTTTAAAAAAGGTAGGAGCCGGGTGGAGTGACTATATTGACAGATTTGTCAGGGTGAGGTGGAAAAATGGCCGCCACACACCAACAAAAAAATCTCCTCAGCCCCCCGCCTGAAAAAAATCCAAAAAAAGACAGAAAGAGGGGAGAGAAAAATTGGAACGCACATGCCCAGTTGTGACGTCTCGTCTGGTCGCCCCGGTAACCATACATCCCATAATGATCGCTAACCTGCTAGTTATGGTTGTGGTTAACCAGGTTTTAGTGGTAGTGGAATCTGCTGTGTGGGACAAGGGTTGGTGGTGCAGGGGGGCGGAGAAGGGAAAAAGTTTTAGTGCCTGTCTCTATTACTGTTGAAATATTCCCTAATTACTTTGAACTTTTTATTCAAATGTATAGAAGGTTTAAAAACATGCAGTGCACATTGATGCTGCAGATATTTATCTTTAAAAGCACAGTGCAACTCTTCATGCTTTATAACTAACTCAACTCATCTGGTTGAACAACTATTTTGCCAAGACATTTAGCAGATCTTTGAGGGATTCTTCGAAAATAATGAGACGGCAGGAGTCACTAGGCAGTATGCATTTCTGCAGGGGGTCATATTGTCAGTGAGAACCCTCCGTGAGATTATTTTCACTGAATATATCCTGCATACATTCCCATCATTTCCAAAACAAATCCAAGCAGCATCATTAATAGCCATAACACTGGCACCCGCCTTTTGCAGTTTCAATGGCATTTTTGATTCTGCTTTACTGGCGTTTTGACCAGAATACTTGACATAGCTGACATACAGTCAGTGAGATTACGAGAATTAATTTGCACCATATTACTAGAAAATAGCATTATGGTATACACAGAACATTGTGGTGCAAGGCCATTGAACTCAACAACCTAACTTTTTATTCTCTAGAGATAAACGTCCAATTACTTTTTCAATTCAAATTTCCTGATTTGCAGCTTTTTTTGACAATCCATTCCACAACTCGTTTAGCCATTGCAAGATCCTGTACTTCCTTATTCTGATTTTGCTCAGCTTTAAGTTCATGCCTTCTGATAGTTAAACAATGTGCTACAATTAACATCTTTTTTAACTTTGTTGATTTTTTTTAAAGTACAGCAAATTGTGCACCAAAGCAGTGGGCACTTTCTCCACACTTAAATTTCCAGAATATATAAAGCAAATGAATAGGAAAAGCTATGGAAAGTTTCTTGGTTTATTCAAGGTTTATAAAAGCAGACATTTATCCAATTATGCATCTCTGCAGGTTCTAAATATTAGGAGATGTGAATCCAAGATGCAATTTTTAGAAACATCTTAAATCTCAAAGCAGGTATGACACACTAGACAGGTTTTAAAATCATGAGACATACAGCAGCACGGTAAATTCTAACTTTAGAAACTCATCATAAAATCAAGCACACGGTACAATGAGAGAAAATATGTGATGTAACGCAGTTCAAATCTGAAATAAATTTTTTTTTACAATTTGGTTCCGTTCCTTTTACACAAATATACCTTTAAGGTTTGTAATTTATAACATTAAAGCAGCCACCTCTTGTGCCTTCAGATTTTATAAGTCATGTGAATACAATTTAAAACCTGATTTCATTTTTTTGTTTGTTTTATTGCATTATCCTTTGATTATAACAAATAAATTGATTTCACAATACAGTGTATGGCTTATTGTGATAGGGTACAAAATATATGAAGCAACTGGATCCTGGTCCTGGATAGTGTCGGTTGCATATGTATACTGCTGCCTTCTTCCATTGTCAGGGCTCATGGATTTTGCCTGTCACCAGTTCTTCTGACTGTTTCTGTGTTTGACAGGTGGCAATTCTTCCAGGTACATGGTATACAAATTAACTGCCAGCTAGCTCCTGGCAACAGGCCAAGATCAAAGACCATACTCTGAAAAAAATTCTTCTTACCGAGCCTTATGAACAACATGCTTGTCTCAGAGTGGGCTAACATCTCTAGTGTTTCAATCTACATTAACCTTTGAGCATTCGTCTTACTGTTATCTCTACAGAATTCACCCAAAGATTGCAAATCAGAGGAAATACAAAAACTGAGGAGGCAGGAGTGAGGGAAAAGGATCTTTTTAGAAAAGCTCAAAAGTTTAATTCCAACTTCTCTATTTCCCCTATGCAGAAGGGAAAATGGACGTATAAAATGAAAATTGTTACGTGTATTTAAGTATGTTTCCAAGAGCTCATTTGAATTGCACAGGTCAACGTAGTCCATTATTTTGATCTCTGGCGAGTGCGCTACTTTGAGTCGACAGAAATTACCAGGAGCAGAAGGGTATCACAGCACCTCTAGAGGATAAGATGGTGAACAACTAATAAAAAAATCATTGTGCTGTTATGGGTCAGTTTCAGTGAGACCAGCATCTGCAACTAATTAGAATCAACAGAGGACAGCATTTAGCCCCTAGTTCACTCCCACCAGCTACTTAAACAGCTCTGGCACTGACCAATAGGTCTAAACATAAATTTTAGGCAATTTTGGCAAGTTATCAGAATGGTTGCTCCCCCAACAACTCCAATTCAGCATGCGATTAAAGATTAATCCCAACAGATGTTACATCAGCCAACTTTGGTCAGGAAGGCCAACCTAACCACAGTCTAGAACCTTGCATGCAAAATGAGGGCCACTTTGATAAGTTATTAGGACACTTTTGAAAAATCATTATCCAGTATTGACCTCGAAGTCAGAGAAACAATAACTGAAAGAATATTTAAAGTCCCAGACAGAAAGTACAAAGGTGTTTTGGGAAAGGCAACATCTATTTATGTAGTATCATAGTGAAATGCTTGTTATTTGAACTTGGTTTGGTTAGTTGACGGATTTATTTTGACAATTATATATACATGTCCTTGCTGTGGCTTACTGCAGAGATAGCATATGGTTCCTTTTCACACAATGCATGATATACAAACAGCAAAGTCCCTGAGATGTTCAAATCCTGCAAGGCCAGTAGGTAACCATAAGTGTCAGTGCATGCACCCAAGGGGAAAAGCATTTCCCACATTTCCTGGAATTTCCTAAAGCAGTTGGAATTTCTACAAACTTGGCAAAATAAAGCAATGTCAAATTATCTATGGTGAGTTACTACACAAATTTATGTACACTTTTGAGACACTGATTATTCTCAAAACCCAAGCATAGAATGCTTAACGCCTTGAAGCAAGACCAAATGTTGAGCAATGATGGCTCTTCCCAAACTTCCTTCATCTTTACCACTACCATCTACTCTCCTCAAGATGTCAAATGCTGCTGCAGTAAAATTCTATAATCTCCTTCAGAGTAAACATTCTTTTGATATGCATTGCTGATGAATGTCAACTGATTGTGACCATTGAGATCATTGCAGTAGAGCCAGTTTTGGTACATAACTGACATTCATTTTCCAACAGGATCACTGCACAGCCTTCAGGACCAGGAACCTTGTACTTTTCTTCATTCAGTAGCTAAAGATTGTTATGTCCTTTGACATGAAATTTGCTTTTCTTACCAAGTCTGGCATACATGTGATTCCAGGTGATAGCAATACACTTGATTCTTAACTGTTCTGACACTATATGATAAACAGTTGCACCAAAACTCTCCTGGCATTGACCTAGGGGCAGGAAACAAAAGGTATCCCCTATTCAATCAATTCTGAAAAGTCCTTCTCACTGGCATCAGAGATCTGTGGCAAAATTGAAAGGTCTGAACCACAGGCTAATGAAGCAAAAACTTGACAAAGTCATATTCATTCACAAGTCACTTTACAGCAAGGGCCCAAAGACTGCTTCAACACCTTCCCTGGGCTATCCTATCCCACCAGGGCAGGCTCACTAAAGGTAGCAACACAGTGGTATAAAGTCAGAAGTTAGTGACCTCAGGTGTCCTCTGCATTGACTGCAGACCCAATGAAGTCTCATGGCATCAGATAAAACCCAGGCAAGGAAACTGCTCGATTACCACCCACCACTGTTCATGAGTTGGTACTCCTCCACGTTGAACACCTGGAAGATATTCTCAGGGTAGCAAGGGCACAGAATGTACTCTGGCCAGGGAGTGGACAAAAGGTTAAGCTCCGATCAAAATGTCTCAGTAGCACGACTAAATCACAAAATGGCCATGTCCAGACTGGACCTGCAGCAGGTGGTGAAAAAACCAAGAGGGAAAAGCACATCTGACCAAAGATAATTGTCAAAAGCAGTTTTTGGCAGCAAGAAAGAATCATGTTTACACATTGAGTTACAACAATCTGGAATTGACTGCCTGACTGTGCAGTGGAGGCAGGTTCAGATGAGGCTTACAGAAGGGAATTTGATCATTAACTGAAAAGGAAACATTTGCTGGGCTATAGTGAAAGGACAGGGGTGTAGTGATAGCTGAATTGATCCTCCAAAGGAGAAACACAGACAAAACAGGCCATCTTCAGTGGTGTCAGCATTCTTTAATGACCTTGCCTTCACCAGTCCACATGCTGTCTTTGATAGTACAGTATTTGTAGGATTGACCACCACACAGCTCTTCTAGATACGAATTCCTGTTCATGGAGGACAGCCTCTATTGTGCTGTGGTACTACCTTCATGCTAAATGGGTTAGATTCATAACAAATCTAGTAGTTCAATTTTTTCTAATTTCTTTTCCCCGCAAGAATTTGCACTTAACGTATATCCAGGTATCTTTGTACTTAGATGGTACTGTAAGTAGCAACTTATGAACTTTTCACTGTACTCATTTGAGTATGTGGCAATTAATGCTAAATCTTTGCATCCGAGGGGCACAGTGGACCTTCAGCAGCATCATATTCTTTCATAGGAGGGGAGCTCCACTGGTACAGCCAGCATTTGTTGTCAATCCTGAATTACCCCTGAAGCGATTTGCTTGCTAGGCCATTTCAGAACGCAGTTAAGAATTAGAGACAAGGTGCAGGGCTGGATGAACACAGCAGGCCAAGCAGCATCATAGGAGCAGAAAGGCTGACGTTTTGGGCCTAGACCCTTCAGAATTAACCATATTGTCATCAACTGAAGTCAAATATGGGTTGGACTAGGTAAGGATGGTAGATTTCCTTCCCTAAAAGCATATAGTGAACCGAATATTTTTTGATGACAGTTGATAGTTTCATGGTTTTTCATTAGAGGGACAAGCTTTCATTGGAACTTAAATTCAACCAGCTCTTATGGGAAAGTTTGAACCCATTCCCCAGCGCATTAACCTGAGCCTCTGGATTGTTATTACAGCGACATTACCGCTACACCACACTCTTCGAACATGCTATCCAAATTTTTCACCTTGTACTCATCAGGACAGAATTATATTACCAAAATTTCAAATGGCATAATTTGTACTGGACGAGAAAGGGCTGTTAATTAGGTGAAGTCTGACCATGGAGGCGATGGCTTAGTGGTATTATCACTGGACTGTTAATCCAGAGACCCAGATAATGTTCTGGGGACCCAGGCTCGAATCCCACCATGGCAGACTGAGGAATTTGAATTCAATAAATATCTGGAATTAAGAGTCCAATGATGACCATGAATCCATTGTCGATTATTGGGGAAAACCCATCTGGTTCACTAATGTCCTTTAGGGAAGGAAACTACCAACCTTACCTCGTATGGCCTACATGTGACTCCAGACCCAGAGTAATATGGTTGACTCAACTGCCCTCTGGGCAATTAGGGATGGGCAATACGTGCTGCCTGGCCAGCAACACCCTCATCCCGTGAATGAATAAACAAAAAAATGTAATATGTACCAGGCATGTAATTCCCAATTATTGATGATACTTTCATGTTTGCCATTGCTCAGAAGAGCCTTTTAATTTCACATTTACTTATTAATTGACTTTAAATTCCACAAGCTGCTTCAGTAAGGTATGAAACAACATTCCCCAGAGAATTTGTCTAGACACCTGGATTTCCACGTCAGTGACATTACCACTATGCTATTATCGCATCCTTCAAACAGTTAGAACACTTAAAATGGGCTTTTGACCAGGGGAAGCCACGACACAGGACTATGTGACTGCTAAAAAGCAGAAGAAACAAGCATAAAAAGGTAGAAATAACTAAGTTCTCTCATAAGCAAAGGATCAAATCAAAATCTTGACATTCCTGACACACACAATCATGAATAGTAGTGAACAATTAAGTAACCACCCAGAGGAAGTGACTCCAAAAGCATGTCCAAACTCAACGATGGAGGTGCTCAGCACATCAGTGCAAAAGGTTTTTCAAATCATCTTAAGCCAGAACTACCGAGTGGATGATCATTCATTGCCTTTTTTTCTTTTTTGAGTTCCCTAGTGTCATAGTTGCCATCCTTCAGCCAATTCCAAACACATTGTCAAGAAATGACTGAAGGCATTGTATGGACCCCTTATAACATCCCAGCTGAAGCCTTGCGCTCCAAAACTAGCCAGTCTGCCCTTGCAACAGCACTGGTAAATCACCTCACAATGTGAAAAACTGACTAGTTATGTCCTGTTCACAAAAAGCAGGATAACGGTAATTCAGCCAATTGGCCTCAGTCTTCTCTCAATCAAAGTGATGGATAGTGGTCTTTGACAGTTCTGTCAGAGGGCACTCACTCCGCAATAAGTGCTGACCAAAGCGGTTTGGTTTCCAATAGGCACACTCAGTTCCAGATCTCACTGAAACCTTAGTCTAAACAGTCAGATGCATAAATTCTAGCAATGAGGAGATAGTGATTGCCCTCGACGTTAAGGCAGCATTTAATCACACAATATTAAGGAACCCTATCAAACCAAACTCAATAAAAACAAGGGGCATTACTTTCCACTGGTTGGAGCCATACCTATCATAAAAGGAAGAGGTTATTGGGGTCAAAACTACTAATCTATTCACCAATGTCACAGCTGCAAAAGCACCTGAAGGCAGTACCACCCAACCAGCCTCACTTGCTTCACTGATGACCACCTTTCCAATGTAAGGTCAGAAGTTGAGAAGCTTGCCAATGATTGCAGACTGTTCAGTGCTATTCAGATTCTGAAGCCATTTGTGCCTACTTATATCCAGATATGAACTTGCAGGCTTCGATGGATAAATTGCAACCAAGACTTCTGCAACACAAAGACCAACTTCAGTAAGGGAGAATCTAATCATCTTCCCTTCAGGTGGAAAGGTATTACGGAATCCCACACAAACATCTTAAGAGTTCCTTTTACTATGAACTAACTAGACTGTCATACAAACTGCAGTTACAAGACATCAAGCTTCTTTATCACTGTTGGAATATTTCCCCACCTGCTTAGATGTGTGTGGCCCAACACCATTGAGCAAAGCTGCCATTTGATTGACACTTATCACCTTAAACATTCACTTCCTCCACCACCAATGCACATTATTAGCAACGTGTGATCTATATGACAATGCAGCAGCTTGCTAAGACTCCTTCAACAGCACCTTCCAAATTTGAAAAACTAGAGAGAAAAAAAAACACAATACATGGGCACATCATCACTCCTACAAGTTCCTCCCCAGCTCACACTATCTTGACTGGAACTACATCACCATGCCATCACCATCAATAGGTCAAAATCTTGAACTCCCTTCCTAACACCACTATGGACTTCAGTTTGAGGGAGCAGCTCACATTCTGTTCAAGAGCATCTAAGGATGTGCAATGATGGTCTTGTTAGCAACTCACATTCCAAGAATAAACAGAAATCCTCCTATCACAAAGTGTCAAAATTCATGTTTCTTTTTGATTCTGACGTTTCCTCATTGGCTAAATTACTTGAGCCTTTTTGTGGCACTGTGCTATCCAAAAGTGACTATTTCAGAAACATCAAGAAATCTGCAGCAATGAGAAGATAAAAATGGAGTAAAAATAGAAAATTGAATGGAGCATTGAAAAGATAGAAAGGCATCTTCAACTGAAAACCAGAAGACCAAGAGGAAATCAAAAGAGAAAAACTAGTCATAAAACAACATACAATGATAACTGGAGTTGGTGTAGCTCATAACAACAAGAATTGAAGGCTGGATAACAGTAATGAACAATGGAGGCAGTCAATGTTGTCCATACAAATAGAACCTGCCAAAACAACAAGAAAAAAACACAACCCAGATTCTAAGTACTCCAAGTAGAATCAGAGGCTGTAAATGGAAGTAAATTGGTTATTTAGTCCATCATTGCTGTATCAGCTCTTTGTAAGAGCTACCAATTCACAACTTGCTTGCTCTTTCCCATTGCGTTGAATGTGTTTCTTTTCAATGTATACTTTGCTTTAAAGAATGTCAAAATGTCCCAAGTGATAACGGTTCGGTACTCTGTGAAGCAAGCTAGCTTGTGGAAAAATTGGCAGGGCAACTCAAAATACATTTGGGTTGAGTCAATGTACAAGATGTTGAGTGTTAATATACAACAGGGATCTACTCTCCTCTTCTCCATACTGTTATTTCTAGTCCCCATCCAATTTTTCATGAGAAGTCACTCAGCATCAGACACAGGAAAAAGGCACAGATATGGAAATCAAACCAAGGATGCATATTCAAACATAGAAAATAGGAGTAGGCCACTTGGCCCTTCGAACCTGCTCACCTATTCAACATGATCATGGCTGATCATTCAATTCAGTATCCTATTCCCACTTTCACCCCATAACCTTTAAATTCCTTTAGCCCTTAAAACTATCCAACCCCTCCATCAGAAATGCAAATTGCTCCATGATGTTTCATGATGCCAGTTAGGGAGTGCACAGGAGAACTGCTGGGAGGAAACAAATACCCAAATGTTCAGTTAGTAACTATCAGTTGAGGAAACACTACATGACTCAGAGACCAATCAATTAATGAAAACAATAAGTGAATTATCCAGCATATATTGTACAAAATATAGCCTGACATAGCTTTTCTTTTGCCCTATCTTCCAAGATTTTAATGCACCATTGTTTTACGTTTTGATGAAAGGTCTTAGTCTTGAAAGATTGATGTATTGCTCTCCATAATGCTGCCTGACCTGCTGAGCTTTTCCAGCATTTTCATTGCTGTTTCAGAATTCCAATCTCTGCAGTATTTCACCTCTTTCAATGATTCATTAAGAGGCCCAATTTAATTTTCAGTCTGTACTAAGATACATTGTCAACTGAGACAAAAGTAGTGGCAACTTATTTCAACTCCTGGACTGTGACATGATGGAAAGCAGAGGACGTCTTCCCATTGGTGACCAGTAACACCTGCAAGTGGACATCAGGTTCAGGCACAAATTGTTAAATAGCCTGGTAAAACAACCTACAATGCAAGAATAATCACACTTACACAGCACAATTAATAGTTAAACCTTCCAAGAGATTCACAGGACTGTAATTTGTAACAAAGACACTGAAGCATCAGGACCAAACACTTGGTCAATCACAAGTTTTATAGAGCATCAGAAGGAAAAATGGCAGGGTTTAGGAATAGAATTCGATACCTAAGGATGGCTGAAAGGATGGGCATCAATGGGAGGGAAGGAAACTAAGATGCACAAAATACTGGATTGTTGGAACACAAAGATGCTGGACAGTTTTAGAATTGGAGGATGCTACAGATAGTTCAAGGTCAAAAACAGGGAGATGTAGACACAAGAATGAATATTAAAAATTTTAATAATTTGAACAGAATGAATTGCCAGTAGATCAAGAGACCAGAACTCAACCGACACCAGTGGCGCTCCATGAGTCAACATTTACAAAAGCAATGGGGAAAATCAAAATGACAGAAGCATAAAACATTTACAAGAATGCATTCATATTAATACTCCAAATTAAACCTAGTATTGTACAATCCTGAGTGAATAAAAACAGGACACAGAGCAGAGTTTTTCTTTTTTGTCAATTTTATTGAAGATAATTTGTACAAAAGTTCAGACCAGCCTTATGGTTAGTCTTCATCCTCCTCCTCCTCTTCATCCTGATTGATCTGGAAGTACCGGAGCTCATAGCTCTCCTTGCTATTTGCAACCACGCGAAGCCAGTCACGCAGGTTATTTTTCTTGAGGTACTTCTTGGTGAGGTATTTCAAGTACCTGCAAAAAACAAAAAAAAAGGACTCAGTTCAACAGATTATACCAAAGTTAACAAAAGTTAAAACTTCCTGACATTGTTCTACTCCTATTCCTTAGCTCCCCGACCTCAGAACAAATCTCCCTTGGCCTAAAGCCTTTCAAAATCTAAACATAGCAAAATCTAAACAATGCTTTCTTTTCAATCTTTCCAATGTTCATTTGTCCCACATTGATTCTCAACCCTTCACACCATTACTATTTGAAATCTAACACTAGGCAAACAGCAAGCTTAAAGGGGTCAAGCAGTCTCCAGATTGCAAATAGGTTCCATTCTTGAATCCGTTCACAACTCAATCATACGCAAGTCAGAACACAATGCAGAGCAATATAAAATTGCCTTGAGTACAGGAAACTTTTGTTACTCAGGTCTTTAAAATTATACCTGTATGGGATTATGCTCGCAAGTATAAGTGTTCTTAAATCACATTTGAAATTCGAAGACTCCTGTATCACCATAGGCATCAAACAGCTGTTATATTGACCATTAAGATTTGCCTAGCTTTTGTCCATATGGGCCCAGATATCTGTGCTGAGGGGTACAGATCAACATCTTTTCTGACTGGAGGACTGTGTCCAGCAGCGTGCCACAAGAACCAGTGCTTGGGTCCACTGCTTTTTGTCATTTACACAAATGATTTGGATGCAAATACAGGAGGTATGATTAGTAAGTTTGCAGGTGATTCCAAAGCTTGTGGCGTATTGGACACCAAAGGTGGTGATCTCGGAGTACAACGGGACCATGATCAGATGGGCCAAGGAGTGGCAGACGGAGTTTCACCTAGATAACTGTAAGATGCTTCATTTTGATAGGGCAAATCAAGGCAGGACTTGTACACTTAATGCTAAGGTCCTAGGGAGTATTGCTGAACAAAGACCTCAGAGTGCAGGTTCATAGTTCCTTGAAAGTGGAGTTACAGATAGACAAGGTAGTGAAGGTGGCGTTTGGTGTGCTTGCCTTTATTGGTCAGTGTACTGAGTAAAGGAGTCAGGGGTTCACGTTGCAGCTGTACACGAATACTGCATTCAATTCTGGTCTCCCTGCTACAAGAAAATGTTGTTAAACTTGAAAGTGTTCAGAAAAGGTTTACAATGGTGTTGCTAGGGTTAGAGGGTTTGAGCAATAGGGATAGAGAGTTTGAGCAATAGGGAGAAGCTGAATTGGCTGGGGCTCCCTGGAGCATCAGGGACTGAGCGGTGACCTCAGACATTCATAAAACAGGGGTATGGATAGGGTGAATTGACAAAATCCTTTCCCCAGGGCAGGGGAGCCCAAAACCAGAGGGTACAGGTTTAAGGTAAGAAGGGAAAGATTTAAAAGGGACGTAAGAGGCAACTTTTTCACGCAAGGGGTGGTGTATGAATGGCATGAACTGCTACAGGAAGTGGAGAAGGTTGGTATAATTACAACATGTAAAAGGTATCTGGATGGGTATACGAAAGGGTTTAGGGGAATATGAGCTAAACAGGACTAGATTAAGGTTTTAGCAAGGATTTGCAGGTCCAGTTGTGGGTGAGGTTGTTGACTTGCTCGCCGAACGGGCTTGTTTTCATTCAGAAGTTTCGTCACCATGCTAGGTAACATCAGTGAGGCCTCCAATGAAGTGATGTTGTTGTACTCCGTTTGGAATTTATACTCTCCGGTCTGTCATGATGAGTAGTGTCATTTCCAGTTTTGTTCTGTATGGGTTTGTAAATGGGGTCCAATTCTATATATTTGTTGATGGCATTATAGGTTGAGAACCATGCTTCTGGGAATTCCTGTGCTGCATGTTTGGCTTGGGATACTATAGTTAAATTATGCGAGTGTACTGATATTAACGAAAGTTCATGGTGTCGTTTTGCTGCTAGCCGATGTTAGTGCATCCTGATGGTTAGTTTCCTTCCTGTCTGGCCGATGTAACGTTTGTGGCAGTCATTGCATGGTATTTTGTAGTTTACCTATACAGAACAAAACCAGAAGTAACACTACTCACCATAACGGACCAGACAGTATAAATTCCAAGCAGAGTGCAACAACATCGCTTCATCGGAAGCCTCACTGATGATGTTACCTAGCATGGAGACGAAACGTCTGAACAAAAACAAGCCAGCTTGGCAAGCAAAAGTCAACAACCTCAGGACTAGATTAATTTAAGATATCCAGGTGGCATGGACAAGTTGGACCGAAAGGTCTTTTTCCATATTGTACATCTCATGATCTGAGATTTTTGTCCGTAAAATTAATGCAAATAATCCCTTCAAACTAGTACTGTACAAATCTGTTCTCCATCATGAGGGGAGGGGCTCTGAAACTGTATACTTCTTCCAGCTAAATAGTCCCATTCTACCACAATATACATTCAAAGTCAACTCACTCACAAACACCAAAAATGCAGTGCAGCAAATATAAATACTTCAAATTCCAGAAAACTGGAATGACTAACGTGTACAATAAGCTGAAATTATTCTCAACATCAGCAGGCACCCATAAAAATCATTCAGCAACTGGCATGTACTACAAAGTACATAGAGCCTGGTATTCAACCCAAAAAAGATGTGTGTTGGTATTTCAGTTATACAAAAGCTGCCGCTTCACACTTTCAGCATGTCTTTCCATTCTTTTGTCATTCATGTATTTATCTATCTTCCTCTTAAATGCATTCAAGAGATTCAGCTTCAACTGTTCCTTGTTTCACATGTCTTGGGAAGTTTATCTAGAATTCCCTACTGAATTTAACATACTTATGGTCCTTAGTTCTAATAGCAGTCATAGGCACAAATATCTTTTAAATTTTTTCCATTACCTTGAAGACCTCCATCAGAAAATCCTTCCAGAAAGGAAGAGCCCCAGCTGATCAACATTTGTCAATCAGCACAACCTTTTAGTTCAGATATAATTCTAGTAAATCCTCTATTGTAGTGCCTTTTCCAATACCTCACTGAAGCCAGTGAGTGAAAATAACAGCCAGGGTTCTCACTCAATTGCTACACAATGAACCTTATAGAAAGATGCAGTCCAGGCCTGTGCATCGTGCTCTACATGGACTCAAACTAGGCTCTATACAAGTTTAAGAAACATCTTTACTTTTCATTTCTATCCCTGCAGAGATAAACGTCCATGTTTTATGCTCTTTATGGTGCATTAACTTTTATCACTACCATAGTCATTTGTGCATCTGTATGAAGAGATCCTCCCATTCCTCTACCCATCTTAGGTACTTGTTTTTCCAATATGTATGAGGCCACTTCTTTCTTCCCCCTCCCAAAATCAGTTACAAAAGTTCATTTACCAATTACACACCATCCTACATTCGCCAATGCCTCTCCACCACCGGCCCCCCAACACACACACCCCAATATCAATTATACTTCCTAATTTAGGATTATACACAAATTTTGAAATTGTGCCTCCAGTTGCAGAGTTCAAGTTCATGCAAACATTGAATAGCAGTGATCTAGCACTTCTCCCTGTGAAACAGCACGTTCCACCTTTTGGCACCCAAGTAACCAACCTTACTCTGCTCAGTGTCCACAGACATAAAGACTGAACATATTAAGGTGTCTGCAAAGAAACTTATTCCTGTAATACATTCACCTCATGCTTTCCTTGCCTGACTCACCTCTTGGAAAATGGAACCTCAGAGGTAACAGTGATCTTACTCTTGTTCCTCTCGATGGTTACCACATTGCCCAGGTTTCCAGCTTTACCATTCACTTTGATACGTTCCTGCAGGAACTGCTCCTGTAAGAAGAATAATTAATAAATGTTGGGATACGTTTTTGATAATATACATGTAGTTGGGCCAGCAATGTACCATTTTGTATTAACAATGTTGTTACCAAATGGGGAAGCGCACTGCCTGGTTTATAAATGAGTTGTATGGACACTAATGGAGCAAGTGAGGGAAAAACTGCTAGGGTTCTCGCTCTCAATTGCTACCCAATGAATCTTAATAAAAAACAACCAGCGTGGAAGTCAAGCAAAACCTGAATGGGATTGGCTTTGATTAATCAGGCGAGGGTGGCTAATAGCTGGCTAACATTATACACAAGCATGTGAACTGGAAAAAAAATACTAGAACTTGTACAATCACAAAGAGTCTTCAACATAAAACTAAAGGACAGAACTGTGATTAAAACTTTACTATTTTATCATGTCAAATTTAGTACTGCGAAATATGCTGAGACAATTAGAAAATTCAGTATAAATACCCAACTCAATAGATCTGGAAGAGATACTGATACTGTGCCTAACGATGTTGTGATATCCAGCATTGGCACACTATTAGTGCCACACATCATGGACAAAGATACAAGTCTGTGTTTCATCCAGTCAATCAAGGTCACATTAAGCAGAGCTGTCACTCAAAATTTGATGGAATGGGAGGAATACTTGTTTCTTTCTGTGAAATGGCTTTATTTTAAAGGCACTGTATAAATGTAAAGAGCTGCTACTGCGTCCCTTTGGATCATGAGACAGCTAGTTTCCAAAACGAGGTTCCAGATCTTGCAACATTAGTGAAATACAGATGGCAACACGCAAGTCAGTAGCCTGTGGGAATGGTGAATGAAGAACATTAAAGACCAGAGCAAGACTGGTCAAAAGACCCCTCAAGCCTGCCTTGCTTTGGAAGACTGCAGCTGACCTCCAGCATAAACTTCACTTTCCACAATGTGACTGCTTAGAGTATCGCAAGAAATTCTAGCACCTTAAACTGCATTGACCTGCATGTGGTTTGCTGCAGTTAAACTACCATTCAGTTAAGCTTCTTAAAAGCTGCAATGTGTTTGGTAGACTAGGAGTCGGAACAGAAGCAGCAATCCTGAGCAACAATCAAACAGTCATCCACACGGGCCACAGGTATTGTATTAGCAGATTACTTTTCATTCAGAAAAACAACTTATCTTGAAAGTAAAATTTTCAAAACATTCAATTTGGCTTCCTGAGCAGCACCATCCAGTAAAATGTTAGGCAGCCAATTGTATACTGTACTACTCAGGTTTGATTAGATTGGAACTTGGAGGTTGCTTCTGCTGTACATCAACTCTATCATAGCACCCAATTGCATTTTCAGCAATCCTTTTGATTTTATTCAGCTGGTTTACATATTCTGAATACGTGCCACTTGTTTCTCAAACCCTCAGCACCTGCTGGTCACATTAACAGTTTACCTACTACAAGCCCATAGGTGATATCTCATTAGCCACAAACCATTAGGGAGATAAAATCCTGATTTTCTGAACCACAGAAGAGATTATCACAATTAACCAAACTGGCTCAGATAGTGAGCAGAAAATACCCACCTCAAGTACATTCCCTTACACTATTCTTCCCCATCTTAAACATAAAGATTCACAAAATTCAAACCCTGATGTCAGAAACAGGATTCAACTCCTATCATGAAATGTCATAGGAAGGGAATTCCAAATGACCCATTTTATTTTCACCAAATCAACATCAAGAAAGCACAATACTCTATTATAGAGAGTTTGTGAAGCCAAACAAAAATCACTCAGCAACTATTATTTCCAAACATTTCTCTCAAGCAACACCACCAGTGGATAGACGCACTCTGATGTAGTACTGAGCAGCAAAGTCTGAAAATTCCGTTGGTGGTCCTCTTTCAAATGAGCGGTGATTCAACCAATCTGGAAGAGAAAGGTGAATCAGGATTTATGCTCCTAAAATCAAGTACCATGTGGGACAGGGCATAGTCCATTAAAGTTGCTGAACAGCCCAAGCTAACAGGGGCTGATTGGATATCCCTGATTCAGATCACACAAGGGAGGAAAGAACATCACACCTGACTCAATCATCAAGGTGATCTCAAAGTTGGCCAAAACGCATTCAATCTGGACATTACTAATGACTGCTAGTTCAGACATAAGATATGTATAGCCCAGCATGCAAAAAGCAAATGTGCACACGCAACTATAGAAGGAATCTACCAAAGGATCACATCAAGCTGCAACAGATCATCCTTGTGCTATGCTGACGAAAACCATCTTAAAAGCCACATTTAGGCTGCACATGAATACTACTTTAGGACCGAAAATAGGCAACAAACAGTCCCCATCTCAACCAACCTGCCAACTTCCAGAACTGACAGCCAACTTTGTCACAACTCCCTCTTTGAAACCCTCCAAACTGGTTTCCATGAAAGCAGCAACTTAGATTTTAGAAAAATGGAAATTAAAAAACCATTCAACAACTGTGATGCATTACTCTCTGCAGCTTTGGACGCTAACCATCAAACCTCCCAATATCTATCCTGCCTGCACTCAACTCCACTCATGCCAACAAAATCACCAACATCTCTTTCTACCTTACGGTCATCATGGGAACTGCCAAGATTCGTCTGTAGCCCTGCTCTCTTGCTCATCTACATATGGCCTCTTGGTGACTTCAACAGTGACAAGACCAGTCTCCATACATGCACTGCTGCTACGTAGATCCATTTCAAAAGTTCCACTGACTCAATGTTGCAAATCATATCCAAAATCTAATCTTGAATAACCTACAACTTGCCCCAGATAACCTCTAGGAAGACTAAAGCCATTGTCTACAGTCCTAACACAAATACTGCAATCATACCATCGACACCACCCCTGATCAGGCTCTTCCTTGTCAAAACAAGCTGTTTACAACTTTGACATCCCATTCTACAAGTTATGCATTCAACCCAATTCTTTCTCAATCACAAGGTAATACCGTCCATATCCATAGCTTTGTCAATCATACAGATCTATGTTAAACATTCTACCCTCATGCCCCTCCAGATCTGATGAATCAATTGCTCGTGTAGCAAACTTCTGATCTTCCAAAACTACAGTCAGAATTGATCATACACAATTCATTGACCCACACCCTCAAAATTTACTGTCTCATCACTTCACACACTCACCCTACAAACCTCCCCCCTTCATTTTTATTAATTTATTTATTTGTGGGATGTGGGCATCGCTGATTGGACAGCATTTATTGCCCATTCCCAGTAGTCCTTGAGAAGGCATCGGTGAGCTGCCTTCTTGAACTGCTGCCATTTCTGAAGAAGGGTCTAGGCCCGAAACGTCAGCTTTCCTGCTCCTCTGATGCTGCTTGGCCTGCTGTGTTCATCCAGCTCTACACCTTGTTGGCTCACAATCTACCCTCTGTGGGTTGACCCACAATGCCATTGGGGAGGGAATTCCAGGATTTTGACACAATGACAGTGAAGGAATGGCAATAGATGGCTTGGCCGAGGGGTGGGTAAGTGTTCATCTTAGAGTTAGTTCACGCTGCTGCTACTGAGCATTGGTGGTGGATCTGCATGGGTTTCACACTCTCCCAGACGCTCTTATTTCACAAATGGCTGGACCAAGCTTTTGCTCAACCCCCAAACACCACCTTGGGCTTAATGGCTCCTGCGTAACACACTTGGATGTCTCCATAACAAAAGTATACAAAGTTATTGTTCTTAAGAAGCATGTAGCACTCAATTCACCATGACGATACAAACAGGCAACAGATATGTCAACATACTGACTACGTTACTAGACTAGAAATCCAGAGGCCTGCACCAATGATCCAAACATGGATTCAAACTCCATCACGGCAGATGGGAAATTTAAAATCAACTGTGGAAAAAAACCTACAGTAATGGCTAGTATCAGGAATGGTCACCATGATACAAACAGATTGTTGTAAAAAATAAAAAAAATCCATCTGCTACTCTACTTCAGGGAAAGAATTCTGCCATGCTTACCTGGTCTGTGCCTGTATGTACTAAAGAAATATGCTTGATCCTTAAATACCCCCTGACATGGTCTAGTAAGCCACTCACTTCACAATAAAAACACCATTTGCAAGATTAGAATCAATGTTTTGACTGCAGTGCACAACTTTGTTAAGGCTTCTTCGACAGCAACTCCTAAAACTCCACACATTTTCAGGAATACTGCAGCACATTCAATGGTCCCAAACAAGTACATGACATCATGACTTTGTGACTTTAAAAATGTATTAATGCTCCTTCATCAGCCACTGGGTCATAATCCTGAAACTCCTACCCAACAGCAGTGAGTGCATCTTCACACTTACTACAGGGGTTCAAGAAGGATGTTTTCCATCTTTTTCAATCTACTATCTTCTAAAAGCAATTAGAGTCAGATAAAATATGCTGCTAGCAAAGCCCACATCCCTTGAATAGATTTACAACCATCACAGTATGGAGAACAATTCTGATTCTACAACAAGGCCCAGGATCTGTCCATCCATAGATCCTAAAAACAGGGAAGTGTGAAGAAAAATGGTGCCTCTTTTCATTTGGAAGGTTGGACCAGAGTCAAACTGGCACAGGAACATGTGGACAATTGGAAAGCACATTGTTGAATGGTCCCTATATACTAATTAGTGACAACAGCGCATGAATTAAAACAGTTATTTCAACACTCGAATACCTTTCAACCATTCACAGGAGCCTAAGCAGAAAGCAGTACCATATAGAGATTGTGTGTTGTGGGAGTCACATTACACCATAGTATTAGCATATAACCACAACTACAGCCAAAGCATACCAAAGGATGCCCCATGTCCAGTATACCTTCTATACCTATTGTGGCCAGCAGGAAGTGACCAGGACTATTGCCAACTCACCCGGAGTCTGTCGTGTACAAAGGTGGGTTACACTCCAGTCAGTTTTAATTTATTGAAAAGACTGAGAAAATGCCAGATAAACTTACAAAATTGGAAGCGTCCATGATGCCATCTTCCACTGGATGTGTGCAGTCCAAGGTGAACTTCAGCACTTGCTTCTTCTTCTTGCCCCTTGTCAGAAGCTTCTTCTGAAAAGCAAAAGGTGAGGGCAATGGGTTATGGATGGGTGGCGCACAGGACAGGAAGAAAAGGGAAGAAAGAGAGAGAAGAAAACCATTGGTCAGATGCACAAGGCCAACAATTTTACTGAAGACAGAGATAGATGGGTTCTTGATCATCAAGGGGATCAAAGTTTATGGGGGGAAAGCAGGAGAATGAGGCTGAGAAACTTAAAAGCCACGATTGAATGGTGGAGCAGACTCGATAGGCCAAATGGCCTAATTTCTGCTCCGATGTCTTATGGTCTAAGGAGTTCCATTCTGTACTGGTTTCTACAGCACTGCAGTCCTAATCACAGAAATAAGGATAATACACAACCAGTTTCCAACACGTCACAACTGCAATTACAATCAAGTTGTCAAATTATTTCTGGACCACAGAGAAAGTAGGGAAACTTGTGTGTGTATCAATGATGATGACGACAATTGCAATTTTCTACACAGATACTTGCCAGTGAGGCTATGCTGCACACATGCATCCCAC